AAAAAAAAAAAAAAAGTATATAAACACTTGTATCACCCTAAGTTATACTTATTTGCTACTTCTCTGACCCCATGGCCATGCTCCAAGAAGGGAAAGGAGGTTTCCTCTCACTGTTGCTTTTCTTTTGTGGCATTGGGGGTGGTCCGCTGATCTGCTCATTATAGGTTTCACAGAGTTCTTGGTCTGGGAGTGAATGGATATCAGAATGGGTACAGTACATCCCTGAACCAGTAACATGCCCTCCCCTCCCCCTCACGGACACACATACTTATTTCTACGTACATGTGTGTTTATGTACGCATGTATACATGAAATAGAGCAAGGAGAAACAGAAAACAAAATCAAGAAATATTTTTTCCCGTTTGGTCCGTAAAAGGGTGTAATTTCCATGATGCTTTCAAACAAGGATCATTTGCTTGTTCAATTTCTTTATTACATGATTTTCTAGCCCAAGGAAGGATCTAACTTCAATATCTATCAACATTGCTCGTATGTTACATTTTTCCTTCAAGATTATCAGAAAGTAACCATTCACGACAGTAAGCGTATGTGCACAGCCTCCTTGAAGGTACCTTTTAGTTAGCCAGCCAATTCCAGGACCAAAAAGCATATCCATTGCATCAAACCAAGCTTGGTATTGAAACTATTCTATTTTATGCTGAAACAAAAGGGCTTTAAATCATTTTTCTATCACAAATTGTTGGCTAACTTAACTATCTTTCCCCAATTCGACAAATTCTTAAGGGAGCAGGGATATGTTTCAGCAACACATATACTACCCATGTGTGAAGGGCTGTTTGGTCTATACTATGTATATGCTGATTCGGAATATCTACATAAGTTTATTATTTATGGACTAGAATAAACAAATTAATTAATATTTGACTATTAGCTCACAAACTGATTTCTGTTTTCTACTTTCTTTGCCACGCTATTCTATCAAAGCATCGAGTTAGGATTTGAATGGGCTTACTCGATGCCATTAAACATTCCACTAACTGGTGTGTACCAGGAAAATCATCTTTATGAAGCTGCATGAAAGCCAATTGTCTGAGATGCCATTGCTTTTCATCAGCTACTTTTTATTTGGATGTGTCAATTATCTATATTTAAAAACCATGAAAAAAAGAGAGTTCCGTTGTCAGTGAGAAAGGAAAAAACTGGATAAAAGAAAAGAAAGAGAAAAAAATTTAATTTCTGTGACTACACTTACTATTTCAGGAAAGGAAAAAAAAAAGATTTTAACTTGTATGAGCTTCATCCAAAATACAACTAAACTCTATCCCAGAAAGTTGAACAGGAATTTTTCTAATGAGCCAGATAGCTCCTTTCTATTAGCTCTATTAACCCAGATAACTTATTATTCCAAAATGTAAAATCAATTCTTTTTTCATTGATTGATGGCATATAGTATAGGCTCATAGTTGATGAGCCCAAAAAAAAAAATGTTCCAGTTATTTAGTTTACTGGGTCACTTTTATCAATTCTTTTTCCATGTTCTATCCACTATTTTCTGCCTATCTACTGTTAATGTTTAATGATTCTTTTATTAGGTTACTGCTCGCTGTGGATGCCAAAATCTGAAAAAAGAGTTGGTCTGTNAAGAGTTGGTCTGCAAGGATGTGCAAGCAGCCTATAGAAGTAATGGTACTGATCCCAAAGATGTATCTAGAAACCAATATGGACTTGGCATCCTTCCTTGCAATTCAGATTGCAGGAGCAAAGTGAAAGCTGCTGAGGGGGAGTTGCAACATCGTAAATTAAAAGCGCCCGAGGTAAATGCATGTCATGATCTGCTGTATTTTGTGGAGTTTAACAAGAAAGAGGGTTACTTCTCTTGCCTTAGCGTTGAATAGTTCATTTTTTGAGAATGAGAATGATTGCGTTCAATAGGTTATTGATCCAAAGTATCCCCCATAATTAGTTGAAATTTAACTCAAATTTGCTCTTCGTCAGGAAAAGGAACCTGAAACAAAAGATAATGTGACGAAGCGAAGACGGAGAAAAGGAAGGGTGCTCGAAGACAAGAAAACTTCAATACTGCAGGTCTGTCTTAGAATTAATGATACATCCGTTTTCCTTTCAAGCTTTTAAATGCTTAACTGCAGTTATTTTAACTTGACAGAGAATTATTGCTGGCATCAGGAGATTTCTTCTATTTGTTATCATCATAATAGCTCTGATTGCTTCAGTATATTTGGGTTATAAAGGCCTATTGTGGCTCTCTGATTGGATGAATGAAGCTGAAATAAAACGACAAAGAAGATACTCGCGAACATAGTTCGTCAGAATCAACTTCATACAGAATTGTTTAATCTTGGTTGAACACTTGAACGGCGAGGAGGAAGCATTCTTTATTTTCCCTTAAAAGAATCAACGTAAGTTAGAGTTTGTCAAGGTTTCTATATAATAAAACGATGCATATATCCACTTAGTTGACAATGGGATTATGCATGTCACATATTTCATATAAAGAACTACTTGTGGAAAAGGGAACTCTGAATATGGATGGATATTTATTGAGTGGAGAAGTTTTGAGTTTGTTCTTTCTGTTTGTGATAAATGGTAGGATTGCTACTTTTCGGGGAATCGATTCCAGGTCATTCCGTATGGATGATGTATGACCGCACTCCAAACCAACTGAACAACTCGAAGGCTTAATTCTTTATCCTTTACATTGTCCTTTTACAGAACTTTCAAAATTGACAAGACCACTTGTCATGTTCCATAAAGTACTATTCCATAATACTTTTGAAATTTATTGTTTTAAAAGTTTAAGGGGTAAAAGCTTGGTGGGTCATAATATTTGTGTGGCTATAAAAATTTTCCATTAAGTTTAAGGGTAAAGTGAGTAAATTGAAAAGTTCAAAGTTAAATTGTTTCTAACTATAGAAATGTATCATTCTTTTTTAAATTGACTAATAATGAAAGTGTCATTTAAATTGAAACTGACAGAGTAATAAATTTTATTTTATCATGTCTTTGTTACAATATCATGAAGAAACAGTTGAAGAAACATTTGTCACGAATTTTCTCTTTGTTGAAATATTTGACCAATTTAACATTTCTTATCCTAACTAGTAAAATAATATTTTTATAGAAGTTCAGACAATATTTAATTGAGGTACAAAATATATTTTACACAACATAGTATTTAAGAGTTGAGTGTGGATGGATAAAAAATTTACTTGAAATATATGACCAAAACGTGAAATATTTACAAGCTCATTATTTATTTATTTTTATTGGTGGAGAATTCTTTTAGATAATTAATATTGGAAGCTAATAAGGTTAAATGATGTGTATAATTGGCAATTTTTTTAATTTCTTTTTTTTTTTACTGTATTTTTAAATTATAGTAGCTTAGTTGATGATAAAATAAACCTGCATGATACAAAAATAATGCTTTTGCATGATACCAACCCGTATATAATTTATTTAAGTTTATATTTAACAAATATTATACTATTTAGTATAACAATATACTTTTAGTATTGGAAAATATTTTTCATAATTAAACATTAATATACTATTTTAGTATATTGGTATACCTTTGTTTCTGTGTCCCGAGACCTCCGATAGCTCCGTTTAGCCTTTCTCGATTTGCGTGCGCTGTTTGTGTCTTTTTCAGGAAAATTTTTATGCGAAAAATTGATAGAAATGTGGAATTTTGTCTTAGAACTCATTTGAGTTGACTACGGTCAACATTTAGTGTAAACGGACCCGGATCAGTATTTTGAAGGTCCCGGTGGGTCCGTATCATAATTTGGAACTTGAGCGTATGCCCGAAATCTAATTTGGAAGTCCCCAACTTGATTTAACGTGATTTGTTGAAAACTAGCAATTTAAAGGTTTAAAGAATTTCTAAGTTTGACCGTAGGTTGACTTTGTTGCTACCGGGTTCGAATTTCAGTTCCGGAACTTGGTATAAGTTCATTTCGGTATTTATGTCTTGTCTGCAAAATTTGGTGTAAAACAGAGTTGATTTGACGTGATTCGGACGTTCGGTTGTAAAATTGCATGTTCTTGAGTTTCTTTGAAAATTTCATTTGTTTAAGTGTCCGATTCATAGTTCTAGGTGTTATTTTGGTATTTTGATCGCTCAAGCAAGTTCGTATGATGTTATTACACTTGTGTGCATGTTTGGTTTGGACCCCGAGGGGCTCGGGTGAGTTTCAGATAGGTTACAGACCATTTGAACTTAGAAAAACTTATTGGTTTTGGCTACTGCTGATATCTGGTGTCATGTGCTTTGCGATCGCGAAGCCTCTCTCGCGATCGCAAAGGTGAATCTGGGTTGGGGAGAAGTTTCTTCTTTGCGAACACGAGGAGCTGGTCCCGAACGCGAAGTAGTGGGAGGTTTACCCTTCGGGAACGCGTCCTTGCTCTCGCGAACGCGTAGGATTATGGGGTCCTAGGAGGGAGCCTGTCAGTTACTCTCCGCGAACGAGTTCACTGGATCGCGAACGCAAAGGCAGGGGGAAGTAAGCCTTCGCGAACGCGAAGGCCATTGGCCACTGCTGCTTCGCGATCGAATCAGGTGTCTCACGAACGCGATGAACACCTGACGCCTAGACTTTAAAATGTTCCAAACACGTGATTTCACCCATTTTCACCATCTTCTCATTAGAGCCCGGCCTAAAGGTGATTTTGAAGAGAAATTTCATCACCATTTCATAGGTTAGTATACTTTAACTCATTTTCTCCCATTTCCATCAACACCCATTGATTCCTAACCTTAATCTATGCTCTTTCATGGTAGAAAATTAAGGATTTGAGAAGAATTGGGGGGTGTATGTAAAATTGAGATTTAGACCTCAAATTGAGGTTGGATTTCGAAACTAATTGCATAATCGGGCTCGAGGGTGAATGGTTAATTGAATTTTAGTCCGAATCTCGGGTTTTGACCAAGCGAGCCCGGGGTTGACTTTTGTTGACTTTTGGGAAAAAGTGTAAAGATCTTAACTTTATGTATTGCAATTAATTTTCCTAGCATTGTTTGTTGATATTAAGTCGATTTTGGTTAGATTTTGTTGGTTCGGAGGAGAATTTTAGAGGAAAGGCCCCGATTGAGCTTTGATTTGCTTGCGGAGCGAGGTAAGTGTTGAGTCTAACCTTGATTTGAGGGAATTAGGAACCCTTGAACTATGTATTATGTGAAATACATGTGTAGCGGCGTATATGCGAGGTGACGAGTGTATATACGTTGTCAAAATAATTGTTTTCATGCTTTCCCGTATTTCATTAATTATTTTATTCCATGTCTTAACTGTTACATGCTTTAATTGCTTCCTATGCCTTAACTTGTTACTTGTCACTTATTTACTCTTGTATTGAAATGCTCGTTTCTTTCATGATTCTATGATTAATTCCTACTTGCCTTACTTGTCTTGTATACTTTAATTGTTATATATTTGGCTTGTCTTGTTACTTTGTATTAATTGTAGCATTCCTTGATTTGGTACGAGGTTCCTTTATGGCTTAGCTTTCATATTCTCTAATCGTAGAGATTCTTGTGAATTGAGTTATTGAATTGATTACATTTATTGATATTATTTATGGATTGGGTTGCACGCCGCAACGGGTGGAATAAGGGAGGATTGATATTGGTATGGTGGGATCGGGTTGCACGCCGTATCAGATTTTATATGTGATTTTGATATGGTAAAATAAGGGAGGATTATGATATTGATTCTGATTATATGGTGGGATCGGGTTGCGCGTCGCAACGGATTTTACATGTTATTATTGATATTGATATGGTGAAATAAGGGAGGATTGTGTTTGTATGGTGGGATCGAGTTGGGCGCCGCAACGAATTCTGTGTTTTGTATTCATTGTTGCACTGTGTTAGCTTTCAGTATTTTCGTACGAGATTATGAAGACTAATATTTCTGAATTTACTGATTTCGAGGATTAAGTTTATTTTCATAAGTTAATTGCCTTACTTTTCCTGTGTTTCCTTTCCTGTTATTATTATTATACTGCATACAGGTTATTGTAAGTGACCCACCTTAGCCTCGTCACTACTTTATTGAGGTTAGGCTCGGCACTTATAGAGTACATGGGGTCGGTTGTACTCATACTACACTCTGTACTTCTTGTGCAGATTATGGAGTCGGTCCTAGCGGCGATTAGTAGATTGCTCGGATGATTTCTTTACAGAGACTTGAGATACAGTTGCATGGTGTCCGCAGCCCTGAAGTCCCCTTTCATATCTCTCTAGCTGTTTTCTGTATTTCAGACAATTATGTTTTCATTTAGATCTTTATTTGTAGTACTCTAGTCGCTCGTGTACTGGTGACGCCAGTTTTGGGATTGTATCTAGATATCGCTGTTGTTATGGTTTTCTCACTCTATTTCAGTTTATTCGGTTTCTTGGTTATTATTTAATTAGATTTGTTAAAAATGGCTAAAAACAATTCTAACGTTGGCTTGCCTAGAAAGTGAAATGTTAGGAGTGATGTCGCCCAAACTCACACCACTAATTGGGATTGTGAGGCGGTCGATGCAATTATAAATACCCAACGCGAGTCGGGATCGATTTCACAGAGAGCTTTATGTTGGATTAGGTATATATCTAGTCTAGGTATATGACGTGTCCAAGATTGTACTTTCACATATTTGATTATTTCTTTTCTACTCCTAAATCTTATGCTAATGCTGTAATTGTAAAGCTAAGAGACAATATTTTTGGTATTGTTGTTTTTCAGGTTATAAAAGATCTAGGGTTGTAACTTCCACCTAGTTGGTTACCTAACGGATTGAGAGCTTTAGGGCATGTTTGGTTGGTCGGGATATAATATTGCAATCACACACGATTACTCACTCTATACCTCTCGGTAGTTTGAGTGATTTTTCCCAATTTGACTTTCTCAAGTCCAAATGGGTATTTCACAAAACAAGTGATGGATACTCAAGTCGGGTCTTACCATCTCTAGATTCGACCCTTTAATTGGGGCTATCAATTTTCTTGAGTTCACCCCAATTTTTTGTTAGCCAAGTTTTCCTAGACTTAGTCTCTTTTTCTCAAGTACCCATACTAGGATTGGGTCACAACCCTAGCTAAGGGTTTAGCTACTCATAGAAAATGAAGAAATTAAAGAAGAAGCTAAAATAAAACTCATAATAGTTGATTAAGGGAAGAAAATCTAATGTTAAAATGATAAACTATTACAAAGTTACCCAAAACAGTAAACAAAAACGGCTATCTATTCTTAGGTGTTCTTTTCTTGACCTAAATTTGACAAAAAGAGCTATTTATACCCAGCTGAAATTATCGAACAAAATTGCCCCTGCGGAGATTTTGCGGCCGCACAATTATGTGCGGTCCGCACTTTGACATTAGCTTGACAAGATGGACTTTTGCGGTCGTATAATTCTGGGTTGCGGTCGCACTTCTTCAAATTCCGCGGTCCGCACATTTCTGAGTGCAGCTGCACTCTCGAATTTTAGCTTTGACATGCAAGACTTCTGCGGACCGCACATTTCTGAGTGCAACCGGACTTTTTTTTCTGCGTCCGCACAATAATGGTGCGGTCCGCACTTCTTCATAACCCCAGAATCCATCTCTTTGAACCTCATCTTCTGCGG